AGAGAACAAGTGTTTGAATTCGAAAACCTATTTTGTAAATTAAAAATAATTTTCCTTCCGTCGTCCTCTCCGAACCAAGCTCACATTTCTTTTCAAAACTACGTTAGAAAATTATTTTCACGGTATGCAATTGCTTCTACGAAAACGTTAAATTCCAAGGGAAAATATCCCCGTTAATAATTGAGAGAACAAGTGTTTGAATTCGAAAACCTATTTTGTAAATTAAAAATAATTTTCCTTCCGTCGTCCTCTCCGAACCAAGCTCACATTTCTTTTCAAAACTACGTTAGAAAATTATTTTCACGGTATGCAATTGCTTCTACGAAAACGTTAAATTCCAAGGGAAATTAAGCCCGTTAAGAATTGCGAGAACAAGTGTTTGAATTCTTACAAATCTTGCTTTCAGCTCGGAGCTGACAGATGTCCCTTAAAGTATCTAGACTTCTTATTATACCGTCGTACTGTAATCTCGTTAGCTGCTTGCAACGCATCAACATTGAGACGAGCAAGTCGTCGAGCATCTCGCGATTGTTTCTCAATTGCAACATCACCTCGGCTGTAATAATTTATCGTGTTCTTAATTCGAGTCTTCAAATGTTAATAATCCGTGAAAACTCTTAAAACCGTCTGCGTGTCGTTTCAAAAATATAATCTTAAAAATACAAAAGCGAATAACCGTTTGATTTATTTGAAATATGTCATCTGTCGAGACGAGTATCTGAACTTCACGAAATTAGCGGACAGAAACGTTTTCAGCTGTCGGTTTCAATAAGAGTTACACAATTGGAAGAAGACAATGGCCAAAGCGCGAGATTCAGCGGGCTTTATTGCGACAGTTAACGCGTGAAGAAATAGAGCATGCGAGTTCCGCGTGAGGAAATATTCCGTGGACAGAGCGCAAGACGTGTAGGATTTGGAAGAATTTATTATACCGAGCGTGTTGGTGTAATGGGTAATAAGCAGTCCGACAGTGCTCCTGAAATTGCGAGATCTACTCTGATCCCACACGTGGCCGCTGAACATTTGAAACCTAGCCAATGGCACACTGGGCAGCAGGAAGTAGCACATATCTTCGTAATGGGATATGTTAACTGAAAATCAAACTTAACGAGCTAAATGGTGCATAGAAAGCGATTCTTCCAACACTCGCCGATATCTTCGTATCGAGGCTTTAATCGCCTCTCAAGACGAACCTCGCGACTTTCAGATAAACCACTCTGTCTCCAACACCCCTTTGTTCTTTGTTAACAACAACGCCCTTGGAATCGATTCCAAAAACGATATCGTCTCTCCGATGCATTATTTCAACGATCTCGTTACAAAGATATCGGAATCACTCGGTCCACAGGGTGTCCAAGTTGAAACAGATCACCTAATCGTCTCCTCTGCTTTTTAATGACATTAAGGACGAATTATTTTATAAAAATTGATATTTTAGAAAATTTTAGCGTACGCGATTTCGCGTGGATTTAACAGACGAAGCAAGATCTTGTCAACAGGGCCATGATCGTTTTGTTCTTTATTAACAACGCCCTTGGAATCGATTCCAAAAACGATATTGTCTCTCCGATGCATTATATCCACGATCTTGTTACGAAGATATCGGAATCACTCGATGCACTGGGTGTCCAAGTTGAAACAGATCACCCAAAACATCTCCCCTGATTTTTAATAACATTAAGGATGAATAATTTTATAAAAATTGATATTTTAGAAAATTTTAGCGTACACGATTTCACGTGGATTTAATAGACGAAGCAAGATTCTGTCAGCAGAGTCATGATCGTTAAGGAGTTAAAAACATAGGAGATTAGGTATCTTGTTCCAGCTTGGCCAGTACTGGACACCCTGTACACTCAGCAACACGCCTCATGGAATCTGCAGAACGATCTCGGGTGACGCAAAAGTAATCATCCATCTTGTGGAATCTCTCGAGAACACGCGCCTCGTTCCAAATCCCTGCAAGCTCAATGGGAGCCTCCGCGAGACGCGCTAACCCCGTGCCAGCTTGACGAGTGTACACTCGACGTGGGTGGAAGGAAATCAATGATTACTTTTGCGTCACTCTGTATCATATTGTACCTATCGTGTAGGACACTGTGAGCTCCGGACAGACCAGCACCAAATTGTGCCAGGCGGTATCCGTGATCGTGTGATGCCTGGAATCCGAATCCCTCACCGATATGTGCAGCGTTTTCAACACCCTCGGCGCTGCATTGGTCAGAGCGATCAAGGTCTGATCGGATAGAGCCGGATAATCGAGTCTGAGAGTGGTCAACGCGTGAAATCGGCTAAGAAGGCGAAGGTATCTGGAAATTCCTTTAAAATAGAACGATAATTCCCGATTGGCCGATCGATAGGGCCATCTCACGTGCCTTGGATTGCTGTGAGGCGCCTGCCATTCCCGAAACGCACCCCGAAGATCCAAATACGCCAGGTGCTCTGTCGAGCCTTTCGATGCACTGCCGAGAAGTCGCAGCACGTCGCTCACACCCAGAGTCGCATTCAGCAGGCTTAGCATTTCCAGATTGTGCTGACAGCTACGTAAATGGATGTCGGGGTTAGATTAGTGAGAATCGATTGGGGAAACTTGAGCACCGGAGCAGTGTAGTGGAATGGCAGTGGTGCGTGGTTACTTAGATAGTGTATGCTCGAAACGTGATAGATCATTGCTTTTTACCGGTTTCCAATTTTTCAGAATCTCGCGAGCTAGGGTATTAGACCTTTTATGAGTATTCCGGTTTTAATAGAGCATGTAGAATCGAATTTGTAGGATTTTTAAGGGAAACATAGGTAGTCTTGTATGATAGATAGAAAGGGAAGATGAGAGTCTAAAAATTTATATTTGGTATGTCAGTAACACGCGTGCAGCTGGTAATTCATTCCGAAATCATCTAATTCCGAAAATCGAAGATATTCTGCGAGAAAGAGATTCAAAAGCTGGCTCTCACGGACTACTGTCATCCTGACAGAAATAAAAATTACAATATTCGTTTTAACCCATTTGCATCCAAGCGCGGAATATTCCGCGAGCCACGACTGTCGTTTATCACCGAGCGCGGAATAATCCGCAGGCCGCGACTGTCTTCTAGCGCAGAATAATCCGCGAGCTGACTTTCTTCCATTACCAGTTGCTGAATATTCTTCGTGTGCCACGGATCACGTTTGATCCTTTTGTGAGCATCTCACCTACGTTCATTATATTCTCAACAAGTTTTACTTTTGTTGTAAAAATCTTTTTAACTGCCATTATGAATAAGTGCCGATTATCGCCAGTTGAACGTCGCTGATGCCTGAACAGGGCACCTTAAATAGAGCCATGATGCAAATGGGTTAAAATATCGAGCTAGTAAAGAATTGTTCTCCGAGATGGTCGACGGTAAACAGAAGTAGAGTTCGAAATAATTATACAATCTACGTCACCGACAACCAAACGAAGTATCATAATTGACGCGAATATGCGTCAACGCTGGCCAAAAGATCATACATGACGCGAATCCGCGTCACCGGCTACAAGTGTAACTAGCATCTCTCTCTCTCTGTTCCTATCGGAGATCGGATTGAACGTCTCACGGTCACGGTTAATTATAGCTTCGAAATATAATCGTAGAAATTTTGAAGAATTTTCTAATTAAATCTTCGGGTATAAGGCTGATCTATTACCCCAAGAAGTTTGCAAGAGCAGACAACAGCTTGCCCCTGTTTCCCCATTTGCAAATGAAGATCCAATCGGTGAGTATCAGTTTCTTCAACTGAACGTTCTTGGCTCGTACAATCGTAAGGAAATCAGCGCCTGCCTCTGCTTGAATGTTACGAGTTATACGCGCTTCCCTTGGCAAGAGGTATGGTCGGGACCAGGCGAGTTCCAAGCTTCTCATATGCTGTCCGTACTTTGCCTAAACAAAACGCAATCGTCGTTCAGTTTCGATGTATCAGACGCGATAAGATCACGTTTCTTGATCGTACTTCTCGTACAGATGACGGATTATCGCAAGAAGAGATTGACAAGTTAGCATTAACGTATTCGATAATTAAATTTGTAATTAATTTCTCCGATTGTACTGCCCGAAATTTTTATCGCTTCGTGAACGTCAAATTTTCTGTATATTTAACTCGTTTCAAATAGAAACACTAAGGTCTCCGAGGATAGAAAGGTGTAATTTAATTTTTGATACCACGACACGTTTCGTTGGCGAATTTATTTTATTACGAGATCGCGTGAGATGACAGGATGTTGGATATTTGATTTCTTATAAATGCTTGCATACGGCTAATTCTCCCGCCAAAGGAAAATCACCACGCAGATCACGGTCGATGAAGACTGTGACAGAACGCCAAAGGACTGGCGACGAGAGTGCACGGTTCCATGGCTGACAGACTTGTGCAACATTGGCACGGTCCCCATGACCGAGGTGACTGAATATCTGCGTCAGTATCAGCTCCGGCAGCTGATCCCACATCTCCCAGTTTCAGCTTGGCCCGTCTTCATCTCTACGTGGCTGAGGCAGCTGTTGCAACCTCGTTAGGTTCTCTTGTCATGCTTCGCGATATCGACTCGATCGTCATTGAAAATCGCACGGTCAATTGAATTGGAATTCACGAGATATCAGAGGTACGAACTCGCGCTCGAATCGAACTCGATCGTCCGTTTCCGATTTTAATGTCCGAAGTTGTCCCGAAATTGTGAAAATAGAGAAAGGAAAAGGAGAATTGAAAAATAAAAGTGTTATTTGTAACAGTGTTATTTAATTACGTCCAAGAGGTTCTCCGTGCTGAGTGTAATAGGAGGTATGACCTGTTCCAATTGCACTTCGCATTCTGTAGATGAAATTGATAAATGTACGTGAGTCTCATTACGATGGCGTCACGTTTCTTTAGTAGCTATTGAGCAACCGTGAAACGAGGACGCTAAGCGGGAAGAAGTTTCTTCTTTCCTATTAATTGTTTCTCTGTAAAAAATTTCAAGTTTTAAAAGCCTTTTGTTTACATAAATAGCTATCCATTATGACTTAATTGAATTGGCCTTTTAAAAGCTACCAGGGTTCTGTATGAAGGTAAATAGAAACATAATAATAACGTTATATAACAAGCTCGAGGATCGTCTAAATCGTTATTGCATTAATATTTTACCTCTTCGGTGGCGTAATAAGTTTTCCCGCTTATTGGTTCAATGTTGCGGCAAATTTAGTAGTGAGAATCGCTGCGAGATGGCGGCCCGAGAGGCGAGAAGTTGCATGCATATACAGAATTTATGGTCAGTAGAGGGAGTGCATTCGGTGCACGTGTACCAAGAAGTATGTGGGATTGTACGACATAATTTACAATCACGCAGTGTCAAGGTCTAAACTGACCACGGATTATAGTCTCTGTCGTGGCTGAAAAACGATATTATATATTCTCCTAGGAATAAATAAGTTCGTCAAATAATTACGTAATCGTTTGATCTTGGTCTTTGACCCTCGTTCTAACCTGTCCATGTGCCATCTTAGCAAGTAAAACGCGGACGTTATTTAACATAAATTATTGTAATATTGGCAAAACACCTGTAATATTGATCTGTAACGCTGCCAACTCGCCTAGAACGTTACATGCGTCGGTAAAAGGACGCCAGTTGACGTCGCTAAATCGCGAGAATGAAGGAAGAGGTGAATAACGAAGAATTGAATAAGGAGCAATGGAAGCTTGAAGCACAAGCCATTATCAATGATGTGAAACAGCATGTAACGGATATAAAAGTATCGGAGAAATTACGAAATAATAATCAATTCTTCTACTTGAATTTAACCACATTAGAGGACCTGAAGTTTTGCATAGAGCTGTCAAGTGCTGGTTTTACCATCGTTGGTAATGAGCACGACAAGATATCGAACAGAGGAAGCGAGCATTTTGAAACACCCTACAGTTTATTAAATTTCGTTAGTCCGCGGTATAGAGATTCTTTTGGAAATTCGCTTGTTCATAAGCTTAAACTATTAAGTGACGACCAGTGAGCTTATTCGATTGAAACATTTTGATATTTTCGGTAACGCTCTTTATTTACATTATTGCCACGAGATTCGTTGCAACGTTAAATATAAATACCAATAAAATGCTAAACTCGATTGTCAGAATATATATCTTTGAACAACAGGTATTTGAAATCTAAAATAAATCATGATTCTCGTCAAATGCGTTTTCTCTTTGCGCAGTACTCATTTAGTCCGAATCTAGCCGAAGATATCCGAGTGCACGGTAATTTGCTAGGACAGTATCGTATCCGATACGTGGTAACGAGTTCCGAAGTTTTCTTGTCTTAATACAGAACAGTACATACTGCCAAAAAAGTTTTTCTTACCAAACAAAAGTTTCGAAATATCCAATTTCGTACTAGTGTCAAATATAACGTCGTCAAGTAAAATAATAACACACAATACCAGTTATTTTCATTTTCTACTACTGATACGTACTTTTTTTGTATTACTATATAATCCATTTGTATTTATCTTTGCTAGATATAAATGCGTAATCATATATTTCTGATAAAATAGTGAAAACGAAATTGAAACTAAAGTGAAAACTCTGATCCGTGACAAACGAATCGTAAGCATCACGTTGAAATAGTTGAAATAGCGACGGAAAATTTATTTGGTTATAATGTACCATATCTAAAGAAAACTCTTCAAACTTGTATGATTATATGATAACACGATATCGTGATAGATACGGTAGTGTGATACCGACGAATCACGCGTCTCTAGGAAATATCCCTAGGAATCGAAAGATCAGTCGGTGCAAGTGGTAATATCGGTTGTGTTTACCCCCTCCTCTACGTTCGTTGTTCTATGTTCCGTTTGGCGTATTCCACTATCGAGTTGTGAAGTATCGAAGCGGTTTCGCCGAATGTGTTGCGTCGTGTGTGCGTTTCGTGATGTTTCTGAATGAGTTTACTGTCAATTAAGTGCGTAAAGACGACACAGTGTATCCTGTTTGTTAATATTGCAGTGAGTAGTGCAACGATGTCGAACGGTGAGCGATGACACGCCCGTGAAAAACGATAACAACAGCTATCCTTTGATTGACCAGAGACGATAGAGAAAACGCAATACGTGAAGGACCCTCTTTGTGTATTCGTGTGACATTCATTGAGAAAAACATGCTTCAGCCAAGAGCTACGTACATCAGACGGTAAAGAAGGTAAGTGTCGAATATTTCGGTAAATCGAATGTCAAAGAACCCCGGAATCTTGACAGGTCGTTTGTTTTTATCCGATAGTCATACCCCATTTCTCAATATCAGTGTGAAAGGGGTGGGACAATTGCTTCCTATATCTCTTTTGTACCTATACAACTGCAGACAATATCGTATGTATGGAAATGAGTCGCGATAGTAACGTAATATCACAGATTGCTAAATATCGCCAATATTCGCTCAATGCGCAGACATGAATCTTTTAAATTTTCTATCGTCTCTACTCCTTTCTTCTTAAATACAAAATTATTCAGTAAAACTGAACCATGTTAAATGGAAAATTTTACTCAATTTTTCTCCGTTATACGCATTTTAACAGTTACACGAAATGACATTGTTATTTCCATCAGAAATTCTTTCTTTATAATAGAACTATAGTATATGGGAATTTATATTTATTTCAAATGCTTCTAGTTTACATTTTTTCCTTTGTATCGTATTTAATTTTCTGTTTCTTTACGATTTTATTGAATATGAAAATATACAATTTTATGTGTCGAAATTTTAGTGGTAGTATTTTCTATAATAAAAAATATTTTCCTTCAGAATGATACAGAAATAAAAAATTTCTGATGCTTGTAATATTTAGTTGAATTGTACCATAGTTTAGTATTAGTGTCGGTATTTAATATTAAATTATGTATATTTACTTGTATTATATTTTGCACTCGTTATTATATCTTAATTAATTAATTATTTTTTTTTTTTTTTTTTTTTTTTTTT